CATCCTGTCACCGCGGACCCCTCGTCAGGGCCTCTTGAAGCCATGTTGGGTCATCTTGATATCAACTTCGCATGATATGCAGGTGGCGGGACCGCTCACTGCGTCGACTTGCAAACAATACCGGGTGCATTTTGGAGTTGTCGTCGCGTCGTTTTCAGATCGCATTCGAGTCATGTTTTGACTGTGCGGGCGCCGCTCGGTCAATTCGGAGCCGCCGTTGATGTGCCTGGGTCCATTTTCTGGCCTCGGGGCCGTCTCGGCATCGCCCGCTGCTCATCAGTCAGGTCATAGCGTAGGCAGCCTCAGACTCTCAAGATTCCCTGTCGGGATCATGTTGGGCCATGGGGTTAATTCAGTTTCGCTTGGAGGTCATCGTCGGAGGCCTGGGGCCCGAGTGATACCACTGAGGGGCTATGAGGTCACGCGGTCATTGGGCGCACTTGTGCATACATGCCCGTCAGTCTTTCCAAGGAAACCCTTGTTGGACCGAGTAGTTTGCACAACATATCTTGCCCTTCATTGAGTGCAGCGAATCGATTGCAGTACACATAGTCCCCCCATCTATTCTCCTTTCTAAAAAGGAGATAGCTTCTGCCACCCTCCCCACCCAGACTTCTCGATTCTCCGGGAACCTATGCAACACACATTTGATTATGACCCAATGTCCATCCGACCTGTGAACTCATATTATCCCAGCCAGGCCGGTATCGGTACCCCGTCGGTGCTCTTGCAACGAAGACTATGCGCGCACACTCGTTTATCGACAATCATAAATTTTCAAGAGTCCCTTGCAAAACATTAGACGAAGTGCGCACGCGCGCGTCGTCGCGCGCGCATGCCGAAATCCTTCTACAACAATTCGGTTTCGGAAGGATTTCAAAATCGAGTGTCCAAAACATATACAAATTCACAGGGTTTCGCAAGACGGATGTTCAACAAAAGCGCGCGCGTTATTGAGATTTTTGAGAAACCATGCGTTTTTCAGCATTTCCCGAACATACTACCAAGCGGGCTTCGCGCGCGCATGTTGAAATCGTTCGAACGCCCTTGCGCGCGTGCTGGGGTGGCACGATCTGTGTCGAATAGTCCATGCGAGCCACTCTCGCGCGTCTGTCGCGCGCATATTTCGAATTCTTTTCAAAACCTTCATCACCGACGCGAAGACGCTGTCATCGTCGTCGGCGTGATCAGTATCGGCGCCGTTACTGGCTGCACCGTCGTCGCTGTCAGCATTGTCGCCAGCATCGCTACTATCATCATCGTGTTTACCGTTGTCGACGTTGCCATGATACCGCGCCCGCCCAAGTCGCCGACTCGCACTGAAGCGCCCGCTGGGATGTGCCCAGCGGTCAGCGCCATCGCGTTCGCGTCGGTCGCGCCAGACTAACTTGCCGCTGAGCGCGCGAGCGTGCGTGGGTTAGCGCGGCCGCAGGGGTGTACCAGCCAACGCCAAGCACTCATCGCAATCGCCGCCGCATGGGTTTTGCAAACCAAGTTGCGGGCGGGTGGGTGGGATTGTTGCGCGAGCCGTGGGGTTGGCAATTTCAAGCTCGGTAAGCGAGTTGCACCGCATCAGTTGGACCACGCACACTGCGCCGCATATGTTGCCAGAGCTACACTGCTAGGGGATCGCACTGTTTGGGGCCCACGCTGGCAAACAGGTTTTGTCCACGCAATTGGACACAATATGTTTTTTGTTTCTACATATATATATATATACATATATATACATATGAAATTACGCGTTCGAAGACCAGTGTTTTCTGCCGACGTTGTGCTCCTGCGGCAGACTCTTCCCGAGGTTTCTGACAGGACGCCAAAGAGCAGCAGGGAGACGGACGCCCGGGCTTCGGTCGCGACAGGGACACAGAGCCGAGAATGCTTACGACCCGAGTCGAGGCACCAACAACGCGCCTCCTCGCACGGCGAGCGCATGCTCCGGGGCGGAGGCCGGGCATGTGTCGGGGCGACGGCGTGCGGAGAATTGCCACGGCGCCACTGACGCCGCTTGCACGATGAATGAACCATGCAGCACACCGCGCTTGCGCGGGATCCGCATGAAGACGAGGCTCCTGCGAAGTGCTTCCCGTCCAGGCCCCAACGCGATTTGGGCCCCCCCGGGCGGGACCAAACGGGGTCACAAGCGCGCGAAGGGGGAGAGTTCCCCCGCCCAAGTGTGGGCCCTGCCGAGAAGCAAAGGGAGTGCAGTTTTGCTCAACGTGATTCGAACCACACTTCTCCATCATCGGAATGTGGAATGATGAGGAGCGGGGGGGTCGGCGGGAGAGGGAAAGAGAGGGGGATGGGCAACGTTCGGATGGGAGGGCACACAGTGGGCTAGCAGCATAACGCTTAGTAGGGAATGTTGGGGGGAGCAACAGAGAGGGCGACGAGGACGGGGTCCACCACAGGATGGTGAATGCCCCGGTCTATCAAATTTTCGGTTCGGGCCATGAAATTGGATGAGGACGACCCGGACGTGATTCGAAGGGTCCGCCAG